ATAGAGATATGTGAAAACCTAGGAACAAGAAGAGAAACAGAAGATGGAAACATTAACCCTCCGAGTAACACATTCCCTTCATATCTAATGTATTTAGTAGCTTACTACCCTTTCAATATGCTAGTCTTTTAATATTCTGAACATAAAAAGAAATAGGAAACCTATTTTGTTAAAATAAAATGAATACTTTTTCTTTTGTTTTTTTTAAAAGCAGTGAGTGACTCGTCTTGGTGTACAGGTCTATTGGAGAAAGCAGTTTACTTGTTCTACACTCAAATGGCAGCTAATTTATCCAAGTAGTGTCCAACAAATAGCCATGAAGTGAATGACTAATTTTATTGGGTGACAGTGGTCCAGGACACAGGAGAAACTCCATTCTCTTTTCTAATAGAGCCATGGGATCTTTTTTGCCCACCTGAACAGGCAGTCAGCACTAGGTTAACATGTCATCTGAACGACGATATCTCCATCATTGTAGCAACCCAGCACTGTTATGGACTGTCAACCGAGACTTGTGAGCTCAATGTCCTGACTTGGAGCTTGAACCCACAACTTTCTGACTCAGAGGTGAGAGAGCTGCCAACTGAGCCAGGCTGACACGTGTGGGGAAGAAGATGGCTTTGATGGGTTTTATTGTTGTATACTTTATGTGACTTCTCACTTCACCATCATAGCACGTGAAATACAACAAAGCTTAAACCAGCCTTCTGTAAGAAGATAGATGAAGGTTGAGGGGTGATATGATTATGGTCTTTAAGATTCTGAAGGGAATAGATAATGTAGACCATAATAAGCTGTTTTATCTTGTACTGAACAGTAGAACCAGAGGACACGGCCTACGACTGAGAGGGGTTAAATTCAGAACAAATTTGTGGTAACACTGCTTCAGTGAGAGAGTAGTAAACTTATGGAACAGGCTCCATAGAGAAACAGCGCAAGCAGAAAATTTCATTTGTATCAAGATAGAATTAGATAGAATTCTGCTAGAAAATAATATCTCAGGATACAGTGTATAGTTAGGGACACGACATGTCAAGCGACTGCAGGATGGTGGAAAATGAACTAAATGGAGCTTGGTCTTCTTTTGCCTTAAAGTTCTTATGTTCTTATAAGTAGAACAAAACTAGCAAAAAATAACCTCAAATTAAACAAGACTATAAAAAAGATTCAATGGATACCACTCAGCCCCATTAAATGGAAACAGTAAAGGATGTAGTTTTAGTTCTTCCACGGGATATGAATCTTTTGAAATAACATATTACTAATGGCCACACATGATAATGTGGCATTGAAAAATCATGGGTTAAGTACCTCCTTTTAAACCTGATCTTTTTTTCATTTCTATTGAAGACTGGAATTTTTAACCATACCATAAATTTTGCTTTGTGTGGTGCTTAGGGTCTCGTTCTATTCAGATTCATCTCACTCTGTATTTCAGTGTCTGTATATAATGCATTATAGTGCCAAGAAGGTCTTGATCAATAGCACTTCCACCTCTCTTCTGTAGCATGGCCTTTATCAACCAGCAGCAGGCATAGGTACACACAGTAATGAACTCGGCTGTGCCTGCTATGACACATGGTTAACATGACCTGATGGCATCTTGGTTTCTCTAACCTTTGCAGCATTTCTCTCATTGTCATTATCAGAGGATACCATGGAATACAAAGAGATAACTGCTCATGTCAGAGTTTTCTTCCGTAGAAGGAATGTACCTGTTTAATTTGCTTCCGCCCACAAAATATACAGTCAATTCAATTTGCAGTATATTCTGTGAAGTGCTTTGAGATGTCTCAATGACATGACAAGGCGCTATTATCAAATGCAAGGATTATTATTATTGTTGTGCCTCCTATCTCCGTTTCACAGTTTGTTTTAGATTTGGGAATATCTCAATTTTATAATTATTGTTTTCTCTTCAAAGTCAGTCAGTTTGCAAATGTGCCATTATGCAAAGAAGAAAGTCATTTGCTGTAACAACACTCACATTTGACACAGCATCTTTCACATTTAGTTACTACAAGTTGCATTTACTGTAGCAACAGAATAGTGCAGACTGGTATGTGCCTGATTATTTCAGGAACTGAGCCACCCTGCAGAATCCTTTTGTTGATTGAGGTCAGCGATGTCCTTTAAAGCAGTCTACAGAAGCCTGATCCAAGGCCAGTCTTTCTTGGCAAAGTAGATCTGTACTAATGAGGAGTCGGCTGTGTAAGTACTAGGGTGGGTGCCAACTGCTCAGCAGAGGTTCCTGAACCCTCATCCAGGCGTCCCATTGTGTGCATCCTGTAAGATCAGAAAATCTGCAGCGTGAGTTGAGGAAATGGATAGTCTAATGGATTTAATGGTCATTAGGTACATGATGTTTCGAGCGCTATGATCAGCTGTGCTACAATCTGTAAAATAGGCATGAAGGAACATCTGCTCTACAGAATGGGTTTGTGCCAAAGTAAGTGTGTGAAGAATACTCCTGCTCACTGAGTGGAACGTGAAGCATTACCGGTGCACTGCAGGGCGACTCGTCCTGTTCTCTCTCAACAAGTGGGAGGCTGCGCACGGCTGAACGTCCCATGAGCTGCAGGCACAATCCATCTGCACCAGACTGCCGCTCTGACAGTGTGTCTCCGTCATAATAATAATAATCCTTGCATTTGATCAAGTCTTCGAGACATCTCAAAGCACTTCACAGAATATACTGTATATTTTGTGGGCGTATATTTTGTGGGTCATGTGAGCGTGAGGTCCAAAGTATCTAAATCAGAGCCATTTCAAAGGGGTGGCATGAGCTGTTCTGTTTAAACTTGAGAGCAACCGTCACCATTGAGATCTGTATCTTCAACAGACCACAGCTGTAACAGTGTGCCTCTGTCACGTGAGCATGAGACAAATATGTGAATTAGAGTCATTTGGATGTCAGCCTGGCTCAGTTGGTAGCACTCTTGCCGCTGGAACAGAAGGTTGTATGTTCAAGACTCATCTAATCATCTAGGCCAAAACCCTAATATAGCATTGGGGGAGTGGTGGATTGTTGGAGATGCTCCTTTGGCTGAGACATTAAATCAAAGATCTGTCTGCCTGTTCAGATGGACATTAAGGATCCCATGCCACTATTTAAAAAGAGAAGGGAGTTGGTGTCTTGGCCAACATCCTCCAGTTAAATTGACCATTCACTTTTGTGGAACGTTGTTCTGTGTAAATTGGCCTATAAATTGCATTTGCCTACAAGTACACAGTCACCACATTTATCAGTATCTACTGTGAAGTGCTTTGACATGTTTTGATGTGGTAAGGTACTGTGTCAAATTCAAGTATTGTTATTTCAAATAGGTCAAACTTCTCTGTTTAAACATAATAGCGACTGTCAAACAAAATCCTTTTGAGAATTTGGGGTGAAGAATTGCAATAACTCTTTTGTTTAGTTATTGTTTGTTTGGACAGAAAGCATTGTAAGCAGTGAAATGTGTTAGGAATACAAGACTGGATTAATGTTCAACTGAGGTCCACTCTGCCTGTTCTGGTGTTGGTGATTCAGGTAGATGTTGAAGTTTCCTAGGCACTATTTTAAAGAGAAGGTAATTCTCGCAGTGCTCTGGTCATTGTTCTTCCCTCTTCGTTCAAGAGGAAGCTAGATCTTCACATGAGGGTGCAGGGAATAGAAGGATGTGGGAGGGAGTATAGGAATGGATGGAAACTCATGTGAAGTATAAACACTGGCATAGACTGGTTGGGCCGAATGGCCTGCGTCAGTCTTTGCAAATCTTCCATATTCACCCAAAGTACAAATTAATTGGTTGTTCCTCACATTGCTGTTTGTGGGAAGTTATTGGCAGTTTAGCTGCCTACCTAACAAAAGTCTGTACTTCAAAACGTGCTTTCTCTGAAGTATCTTGAGACATTTTGACGTGATAAGTCACTATATTCAAATGCAAGTATTTTTGAGTGAAACTGTGATAGAACTGAATTAACATCAGTAGAGCAACAGTGTGCTTCAGCGCTTGTATCATTTCAAGTGTGTGTTATTTCATCTCCCCAAGGGTCAGGCTCAGTAACTCCTCCAAGCCACTTCCTGCAATGATGTTATCAACACTGACTATTAAACAAGAATGAACAAATGGACGTTCATTATAATTCTTTGTAACTTATAAAAATGCACTGATGGGGGCACTTACTCTCCAGTGCTGTCATACATAGTAGGCCTTGAGGCACTGGAGTGATTAGATGCTTTAAAAAGTGCTGCCTGCCTCATTTGTGCTGCTGGAGTTATGGGGCTTGTCGTTGTTGTAGTACTTAAGACTTATTTTTTTCAAACATGCTTTCAGTCATCTTTCCCACTCCTCCACTTTCTCTCCTAATCTCCAACCCCCCACCCCACCCCCGTTCAGGTTCCCAGTCAACTGTGTGAAGCACTGTGAGCCATTCTTCCAACATGAAAGAGTAAATGTAAATAGTAATAATAATCCTTACATCTGTTATATTACCTTTCATGTTGGAAAGACATTTCAAAGCTTCGCAGGATTTACTGTAAAGTCTAGTTGCTGTGTATTTTATAAACAAACATGCAGCCAATTTGCACGCAGCAGTGTCCCACAAACAACCATGAAGTGAATGCCCATTTGTTTTGTCTAGAGGAATGTTGGGGAGGGGAGAATCAGACTTGCACAAGTAAAGAAGTAAAGCAGATTCTATGTATTGTGCTGTGGTGTCACATTGTGGATTACAGTGGAGCTGATGCAGAATTGACAACCTACCTAACATCTGCTAGAAGTCTAGGTGGTGCTATACTGCTAACCTCATGCCAATACTGATGTACATTTGGAGGCAAATATATATTCCAATTGATTCCAATATAAAGCCAGTTCAGTAGATTAACTGCTTTCAACTGATCTTCAATGGATCTAACTGACATTATTTTGGCAGAATGCAATTGTGATGAACAGGCGAGTTGATACAAGCCTTGATGCTTTTCAATTGATTTCTTCTTCTGTGTCCCTTTCTTTTAGAACAACCGCCAAACCAACAGAGCCAGTCGACCTTACAGCCACTTCCACCTTTGCATAAGCAGCACTTGACCCAGCAGCAGCCCTCGGTCACCTCGCTCAACAGGAACTCACTGACTCAGCGGAGGAACCAGAGCCCGGCCCCACCGGCCGTGCTGCCCAGCGAGCTGCCCACCACGCCCGAATCTGTCCAGCTGCAGGATAGCTGGGTTCTTGGCAGCAATGTGCCCCTGGAGACCAGGTACTGCAAAGCAGCAGCAATGTCCTTTAGTCACATGAGACCAAAGAATACTGTTGGTCCAAAGAACAGCCTTTTTTAAAAAAAAACGATCTCAAATAAGGGTTAATATGGAAAGAATTAACACTTCAGTTAATGCGCACGGCCAGTACGAATGAATTGCTCGGTATTTAATGAATGGTTATTGTTTTTTGCTGACAGTACAATGCACCAGGTCCATCATAATACAGGGAAATGTCAATGCCACCTTTAAGTTTCTACTCTGGAATGTTTCTCACTTTGTATATTGTCAGGTTACACATAGGTAGTAGATTCCTAGCTTTCCACTCCCTTGTGTTGTAGCCTTTTGTGTTGCTTTGCAAAAAATGTAGTGACCCAGAACTGAGCAAAGCAGTGGCAGCCAATCTGTGGCCAGTGGCCCAGAAGTGGCCCCGGGCCATCAAGCAGCCCCCTGAACATCCACATGAGTCCCTAAGTAAGTCCTTTTTTGATCGTAATATGTCTTCAGCTTTTTCTTGATGATGCAAATGTCACAATTGCTCTGATTTTTAGAATGAAAGAATGATACAGCTTGGAAACAGGCCATTTGGCACAACTAGTGTTTATACCCCACAAGAGTCCCAACCCTCCTATTGCCCTGTCCTATTCCCTTCTCCCTTGTGTGTGCATCACGTTTCTCTTTATACACGTTGATGCTTTTTGCTTGAACCACAGCTTGTTGCAGTATGGCTGTTCACTGAGAGCAAGCTTCAGAATGTGGTGTCTCATGCAGTCATGCCCGTCACTCCTGACGTGTAAGATTATGAATGGCTGGAAGTAAGCAATAAAGCTTCAATTCAATCCCTCGGCTGCAGATAGCACGGTAAAAAGTAAGATGGAAGGCCGTCTGGTTTATAGGCATCATCTCAACCCCAGGATTAAATTACAGCCTTCAGATATCTCTGGTATTTGTCTTTTTTTTTAAAAAGTATATAAAGTGGGCTCAATAAAATTAAATTCATACAAATATTATTGCATTGTCAGTATTGTATTGGTTGCAGACTGTGGGAATTATCCTGTCCTGTTCCCCAGTTCTGCTGAATTTTGTCCTATATAAGCAAAAAATGCAACATGTGCAGGACGACAGAATAGCACATTATAACCTTTATAAAAGGCTATTGTGGTGTCAGTGCTGGAGGGGATAGTCAATGAGTATTTTTTAGCTTTATCAAGCGCAATTAGAAGGGAATTAAGAGCCGTATGTATATTGTAACGTAATTAAATTGAAGGAAATTAAAATATATCATTAGGGTTGTACATAGGTCTTGTTTGCCATGCACACAGAGGAAGCAATTAGTTCTGTTCATGTCATGCATAATGTCAGAGCAACAGGAATGAGCCATCCAGGTGTCCATTTAGTTGAAGAGATACAGCGGTTCCAAGCAAAAACTCAAAACATTCAGTCTGTGTTTCTACTTGAACCGGTTAAGAAAAGATCTACAACAACTTGCATTTATATAGTGCCTTTCACATAGTATAACACCTCAGAGTGCTTAATAATGATGAGCACAGACATAAAACAAGAAAGAGAGGAAAGGGGCCAGTGAACGTAAGCACAGTCGAAGGGGTAGGTTTTAGGGTATTATTTGAAGAGATGATTGTTACTGCAAGTTAAAGGGAAAGTTGGAAGATTTTTCACTTGTTTCATTATCAATTGCAATGGCAGACTCCAGTGCACAGTGCAGCTTAGCAATGATACTGTAAAGGACAAAAGCAAAGCTTGCTGGGTGCTGTGGTATCACTGAGCTGTACAGATCAGGAAAGGTTACAAATTCACAATCAAATAGGGAACTGGTGAGGGGTTTTCTCTCTCTGCCAATTTTCTTTTTTAGTCGTCTCCCTCCTCAAAGTGTGTGACTTCTTTGGGTGACTTTCACTCGCAGAAGCTTCACCGAAGGTTGCGTTCTCAGCCTTTCAGCAAGACACAGAAAGCCTTAGAAGATGGAATGAAAATGTTAACATACTCACTAACCTTGTTATTTACTATAAACGGCTCGATAACCATGCAGTCATTACCTTCCAATTGTTAATCCTTTACTGTGGACATCATCAGGCATCATCATGGTGTCATTGTCTCATGGAATCCATAAAAAAAAGGAATACAATTCACCTACTAACTCCTTAGCATGTGTTATACCATATATATATATATATACGTTATCACTAACAATCATCATCAGGGGAGGGAGACAGAGGAGAGCTCTGCAGATGATTAAGTTAATGTTGGGTACACAGGCTCATTTGTAAAGTTATTTAAGAGCCTGGTTCATGACAGACTCTCTAATGATATTAAAAAGCCATGGCATTTTAAAGTTTAAAAGGAATCAGCTGCATTTTGAATGGGAATTATCTTGCATTGGATGGCAAGGATTCTATTCAAACGCTATTGCTATGGTTTGGGGTTTGAGAGTGGAGTTTGGAATTGAATCGATGTCCCCAAATCCTGATTTATACTCCATTTTTAGTTCCAATTTGACACAAAAGTATATTGCCTTGGTGCTGAATGTGCAGTATAAATCATTGGGTTTCACTGTCTGCCATTTTTAGCAAAAGATTGTTTTTTGAAAAAAAACACAATGGTCTTATTACACTCTTTAAGTGATCCAAAAAAGAATTTCAACAGTGAATGATCTCCATGCCAGGAAAAAATGGGGATATTCTTCATTCGGTTTAAATTTACTTCTGTCCTGATGAAATGCCTCACCTAAAGCAATACTGTCCCAAGATCTTGGTTCTCAGCAACCTGTGCCTAAGGTCAGTCGTGCTCCACCACTCTTAAGCGCTCCAGGCTGCGTGAAGGGAGCTATATAAATGCAAGTTGTTGTTGTTGTTGCCCAATACTTTCCAGAATTAAGTAATCAGGGGGCACCCCTTTGGCGAAGAGAGAGCACATTCCATACATAGTGGAAACTCCATGCTAAGTGGCATTTATTTAATAAAAATAATCCTTGTGTTTGATAAAGCGCCTTATCGTGTTGATGAGACGTCTCAAAGCGCTTCACAGAATATACTGTAAAGTGATTTGACTGTATATTTTGTGGGCAAAATGCAGCAGCCAATTGCGCACAGCAATGTCCCACAAACAGTCATAGATTGAAAATGACCAATTTATGACTGCCTTTTTTTGGAGGGATTATTATTAGGCGTGTGGAGTAAGGAAACTTGCCCAAGGTTTCGCCCTCTGCCTGGAATTGAACTCAGGTCTCTCACTTGCAAAGCGAGTGCTCTAACCACTGAGCTACAGGACTCCTGTTTACTACTTACTGCAAGGTAAACAGAGGTGTGTAGAGTAAGAAAACTTGCCTGGGGTTCTATGTATGTGGAATACTTAGTCTGCTTTGGATACTCTTCAGCATGATGATGGGTTTCCATGTGTGTCAGATACCCGGCTGACAAAAACAAAGCATCAGCCTCTAATTTCTCTTTGAGATGCTTATTATCCTGCTGTGAATTTCCACCATTCACAGATTTTCTTTTCATCTCTGCGCTCTGTTTCCAAGGCTTGATTCAGTCACTCTTTAAAGCACCTGGATGTTTTATCTGTTTTGTGGTTATTGCTTCCTGAATTTTATGACCTTTGGTGAAAGAAAAACACTTTCATTCTTCAAAAGCTTTGGAATTAGAGGTGAGGAGCAAGGACAATGACGCTGCTTTTGAATTTAGCAAAAGGCGTCTAATTTAAGCCTCTTGCAGTGACTGTACTCCTTCAATTCAATCTTAATTTGGAAGCTGGGGATTGTTTTAGCTTGCATATAAATTGAATGAGTTTTTTTAAACAAAATAGGCATAGAGCAATGTATGTATTAAAACAGTAAATCTCATTATCCTGCGATGTACTCCTAACCTCAGGAAGCTGGCTAGTGCAGTGGAGTGCAGTTTAAGAAAACCATAAAAGTACAGATTGGAGATTTAACTTCCTGTTTTTATTGATAAACTATCTAGTTCACCAGATGCAGGGATGAGAAGGTCCAATTTATGTATATTGCCTCCTGTAAGCTCTGCCTGGTCACCCCATTATATTCATGATACTTTGCCCAGAATTTAGTTAATCTGCACAGTGACTTTTCCTCCTGCTGCACTATTTGAAGAAGTCCCCCTGCCATGTCCTGTTCACACAAACCATATTTTGGCCTAAAACATCTCCTTTTCGTACTAGTTCTCATGATTTCCAGTTGTGGCCAATGCTGTGTGTTTTGGGGGCTTTTGCAATTCGCAAATTGGATTTCGCAATTAGTAGAGTGATCAGATTTGTAGATGGCACAAATTAGGCTCCAATATTCACTTCCCCCACTGTTCTCACCTCGTCTCCTACTCACATGTACATAGATTTACTCAGGCTATATAGCACGGAAACAAGCTATTTGATCCAGCCAGTGCATGCCATGTTTTATACTCCATATGAATCTGCAATGCTCCTTGCTCCTCCCATATCCTTGTATTCTGCTTCAGCCTTCGCTTTGGGCAATGAGTTCCATAAATCTCACTTCCCTCTATGTGAAGAAGTTCCTCTGAAATTCTCTTTTAGATCCAACCAGTCACTGTCTTATGCTTGTGTCCCTGGTTACGAATTTGCCAATATGTGGGAACAGCCTATTTATGCCAGCCTCATCGAATCCTTTCATAATTTTAAACTGTTCTACTACGACCCCTCTTCTCTATTGAAAAAGACCAAACCTATCCAATCTTTCCTGCTAGGGGTAACATGACAGCCCTGATATTATCCTAGTAAACATAGGCTATACTGTACACCTGACAATTATTTCCTAATAGCTGGTTGTTCCATGGGCCCTGCTTTCCCTCTGGCAATTAATCCAAGCAGTGAGTCTGACAGTGAGTGTCAGGAGACAACTTGTTCATGGGGCATCACAGTCATGCGTGCTCTGCCCCACACCTTTCCAAAAGGGTCTCTCAGTTAGGAGAGGGAACCAAACCGATTTAATTTTCCTAACCGCAGTGCTCCATCT